GCTGGCGGAGGGCGGCGAGCGGCAGGGCGTGCACGGCGGCCCGCAGCGCCCGCAGCCCCTCCAGCGGCTCCTCCAGCCGCGGCACACGCTCCAGCAGCTCCAGCACCGCCTCCGCCATCTTGAAGCCGTGGGGCCGACGGGAGCCGCAGGGATCTCGCGAGAGCTCCGCCCCCTAGCAACCGTCGCTCCGCTCTCTTGTAAACAAAATGGCGGGCTGTCACTCATTCTGCTCCCCGCTCCCCCTATCCTTTCTGATTGGCTGCAGGGCCCTCTTGCGCCCTGCCCCACCCTCCCACTATCAAGGTGGGGGAGAGACGTCATAGGGATGTTAATGACATCACAGCGTTCCTGGGCAGTGCCTGCCCCCCACCCTGGCCACCACCAGTTCCTGGTGACCTCAGAGCACGGCGGGGTGATGTCATCGCCTCACAGCAATATCACCTCACAGCGATGACATCACGCACGCATCAAGATGACGGCATTGCTTTTGCAGGCGTCATAAATGCACCGGGCTTCTGTTCTCCAGCCAATGATCCAAGAAACCAAACTGCTGTAGCCACAGGGCCGGCGGGCAAGCACAGCGACTCTCGCCTGCTTTCTCCTGAGGGATTGAGAGGTGCTGCAAACCCATTTTACAGGCGGAAAGACAAAGTCATGAGCTCACAATTAGGGCTCACCTCCTGGAGACCCACCGTCATTTGCATTATTTAGATGTCTAAACACTGCGGCATCCTAACGGTACACGTCTCCATCCTGGATTCATTTTGCTTGTAAGAAGCGGGGGGAAAAAATAAAAATGCTGTGGCTGGAGATCTGTCAAAAACCCGACTCGTGTAGGATTAAGCTAGGAGCTGTTTTTTTTTCCAATCCGACTCATATTTGTGCATCAGATCGCAAGAAAGGGCTGCATTCATCTGATCCTGAGGCGGTGGAAACTTTGTGATTTTGGAGCCAACTTATTTGCAAGTCTTCGACACCATTTCCTCAGCTGGCCTAAGAAAGCAGAGGTCTGCGCCGTGCCATCATGTCAGCGATGCTTTTAAACTAACAGCCTTTCCTTTGACGTTCCCAGTTCATGTTCACAGTGTAGACAGTGCTACGAAACAAGCAGGCATTGATAAAAGTCAGGTGAGGACAGTGTTTTTCACCGTTGAGGTGCTTAGATGGAAAAAATAAGCTGGCTTTTGACGGGAAATTGGTGGGTTCTTGCTTTGCTCTGTCATTTAGGACACTTTTGCTGAGCAGGGTCACGCGCCCCGACATCTGTCCGCGTTACTGCTGCGCTCATTATTAGACACAGGACCGTGGCCTTTCCCGACACAGTGTCTACATGCTCTCTGACCCCATTGGAGAAGTAGGATTGGTCTGCGCCTGCAGAAAGCAGGGCTTGGCTCCTGGAGAAAACGTATCATTTTCCAACATCTGAGATGTAAGCAGGCTGGTGGATGTGAGCAAGCACCTGACCGTTTCCATTCTGAATGATCTATGGTATTAAGTATTTCCAAAAGGTCGCTAACAACGGCAGCAGTAATTTGGCCTCCGTTCACCGTTCAGTGCTGTAGACATCCTCTGGGACAGTACGCAGAAATGCAATCATAGCTTTGGTCTAAATCCAGACTCCGACGGCCGTGCCAAAAACGCTTGTAATATTCCATGACCCGTGGACAAATACATTTGTCTAATAGCTTGAGGGAACTTACAGTAAAGTAATGACGCGTCAGTTAGCTTGGATGTCTCTATTCATACCCAGTCATTTTTCAACGGAACATCGTCAAAGCATTTTAGAGCCCACGTTCATAATACTGCTTATATCCATAATCCTGCCTTGCCAGGATCTCAGCGTGCTTTCAAATGAATTAAGTCTCAGAACATCCCATGATGCAGCTAGAGAAACAACAACACAGAGGTGAAGTGACTTACCCAAGGTCACACAGCAATTCAGAGGCAAAGGTGAGAGAACTCAGCTCTTTGCTTCCAGTCCTTTCATCCTCAAAACGTGCTTCTTCCAACTGGCTGTGTCCAAGGAAAGAAAGCAGTTCTGCAGAACCAGCTATTAGAAATATTTTCTAATAATCAGTGGAAACTTAAAAGGAAAAACAAATCTCTTGCGTTGCAAAATCCAAAGTGTTTCTTTGATGCTACCGTATGGGAACCACACGGCTTGTAAAACCTATGGAGGCCTTAAGCATTAAAAAGGTCGTTAACAGGTAAAGAAAGGAACAGATGGCTTTGAGGACTGTCTTTTTAAATGCTTTTGTGCATTGTCAGCCCATTTTTAATTCCCACTGAAATGTCAACATGCTCATGCTGGCTTGTAATGTATTCATACTAACATTTCCTGGTGATTGCTTTATTGGGATTTGTCCAAGTCAGTGACTCTTTGGCCACCCATTTTCCCATCTTTTCAATTAAATGCATCTACCTCTCAGGTCTGTTTGGGGGTTACGGTGATTAAGAACATAAGATCTGCCATTTGCTGGGTCAGACGGTAGGTCCACCTTGCCCAGTATTGTGTGCCACAGGGGCAGAGAACGGATGCTGAAAGGGACAGCAGACTGGGTCTGAATAGGGGTTTTGCCCCTGCTATTCCTCTCTCACTTGCAGCCTCCAGCACCTAAGGTCTAGGAAGCTCTGATTCAGAGACGGTGCCACTCGCTCCCATGCTCAATAAGCTACTGATGCCCCTTTCCTCCAAGGTGTCCAGTCCCTTTTTTTGAATCTGGCTAAACTCTGAGCTTCCAGCACATCTAGTGGCAATGAGCTCTACCCTTTAATGCCACTCTGGGTGAACAAGAACTTCCTCATGTTACTTCTAAACTTACAGCCTACTTGTTTCATGTTGTGACCCCTTATTCTTGTTTTGAAACTCAAGAATCCATTCCTATGGACTTTCTCTTTGCCATTTAGTATTTTAAAAACTCTTACCCTATCCCCCCTTCTAAATAGGCTTATGGAGCCTCTTTGCCTCACTCGCAGTTTCAATAATGAGATCAGTGGCACTTCCCAGCTGAAATGACAAGAGGGAATACTTAAAAAAAGGCCAAGACACCTTGGTCCCTACATGGAACGGAGCCTGGAGTCAGGGCAGCTGCTGCCTGTGGAAGGAGCACAGGATCATAGGAAAGTATGGTCATCTAATCCAGCATTTCTCAAGTGGTGGGTCACGGCCCAAAAGTGGGTGTCAAGAATACATGAAAGGGTCGCGAACAAACTTTAAAAATGGATTCTTCTTTAAAGGAGAAAATTGTGGGAAACTGGTTTTTGTCCTTGCAGGCAGGCAGACTTCCAGCCTGCAAGGGGCTGCTTGGGGGCCCCCCTGCCCCACATATACCCCCACACACACACACACCGGGGGGCCAGTGCCTGGGGGTGGGGGGCAGAGGGTTGGGAGTGAGGGGCACTGGGTCGGGACTGGCCACTGATGTTTACAAGTGAGTCCTGGTACAAAAATGTTGAGAACCGCTGATCTAATCCAGCCCCCTGCCCCAGGCAAGATAACTCCCAAATAAAACATCCCAGCCAAATGTCTTCTACCTGCTCTTGAAAATTCCCAAGGATGGAGATTTCACAGTTTCTCCAGGCAGCTGGAGCATGCTCATAGCAGGTCATAGACAAGGAGGGTGGGAAGGGATCTCGGGAGGTCACATCTAGTCCAACCCCCTGCTCCAAGCAGGACCAGCCCCAACTCCATCATCCTAGCCAGGGCTTTAAGGTCCTCATCTCCCATCTCAACTTCCCCAGCTGCATCTTGCTGCTGCTGCTCCTAGTCCTGCCCCTACAGCCACAGAAGAAAAGCCCATCTCCATCCCCTCTGTAATCACCCCTTTTGCATCTGAAGACTAATATCAAATCCCCCCCTCACCTCTTCTCTTCTCCAGATGAGAAAAAAACCCTCCTTCTTGCAGCCTTTCCTTTTACCACTGGCCTCCCACGCCCCTCATCCCATGCACAAGAATCTGCACACAGCTGAAGTGGTGTATGGACCTGCTTCTATCGCCTGCACAAGAAAGTGTCCCTAGATAAAGGTCCATGCGGGCACCAGAGCAAAGGGATCTATGTGCATGTCTTCTCCAGCCCTTTCTAAGCCCTCTCTGCACCGTGCAAATCCAGGGGAGGGTGGGCAGGCAGGGGAAGGTGCCAAGCAAGCAGCCTGAGAGCAGGCGGGTACCAGTCCCTCCTGGCAGGCAGAGGAGGAGGAGTCTCAGCAGCTCTGCAAGCTGCTGCCAGCCCCGGCAGGTGGAGAAGGGCAGCCCAGGCAGGCTGCATGCTGCCAGGGGGTGCAGGATGAAAATGGACTGGCTCTCCCAGCGCTGCCAGGTGCCGGCTGTCCAGAGCTGCTCCCGCCCGGGATGCTTCACTTTGCTGCTGGTAGGTGACCCCCCTTCCTCCTGGCCCCCCATTTGCAAGCCACAGGCTCCCCCCTGGGACCAGGGGCGAGGGCGTCCGGGGCATCTCTGCACTAGCTGAGCCCTGCCAAGGATCCAAATGCAGGCAGCAAAACTGTGCTGCAAAGATTTTTAATTTTTTGGGGGGGCAAAATATATATACACTGTTCTTGCCAAACCTGAACCCATTTTTAAAGCCTTCTTCCAACCCTACCCAAAATTTCACATCGTGCTGCCAAGATGTTCTTAGCAGCAGGCAGAGGGGACAGGCTCAGGGGCAACTTCTTACCATAGAAATGTCCCAGGAGGTGCTGAAGATCCAGTGCGAATTGCAGAGATCCAGGCGATCCCAGCCCTGAGAAATAGTTTTCTAGAGGAGCTCACAGGGTGGGGGATGGATTGAGAGAAGGAAACACACATGGGAAATATCCTCTTGGCTGCATGCTCACTCTCTCCTTTGCACAGCCTGTGAGGCAGGATTTAAAGAGCTCCTTTCACTCTTGGGGAGGACTTGTTGCTCTCGTGCCTGCAGGAAGGTTTGTTTGGCTCGGCAAACACTGGGGGGGGGGGATCAGATTCAGAAAGAATCCCAGTTTGGGTTTGGCAACAAAACCAAACCCAAGTGGCAAGACTGACCCGCGTTAGAAACCCTCCTGGATTTCACCATCACTTTTCTGATCCATATTCTTCAGCTAGAGACATTTACCTTCTCATTACTGCAGTGTTGGATTTCAGGCTCCAGGCTTCAAACTACCACACTAGTTTGAATAATAATAATGTGCAGTACATTATTTCTTGCACCACCTCGAGGCAAAACGGTTTTGCAGAAGCACCAAATTTCATGACTGATTGCTGTCAGGGAAAGTGAAAGGAGCTGTAAAGCTCGCATTATTTGTTGCTCACAGGGATAACCTCATGCGCTGCACAAAGAGCTTCCTGACAGTTGATAATTACCTTGATGAACAGAACAAGGTATGTATTTTTGCAGGGGCTGAAATACTGCTCTTCTTTGGAAGATACGGTATCTGTGACCACATTGTCCTCCTTTTGTCTCATAACCAGCAATGCAGCGTTTGTGATTAGTTAGTTCTTGTTTTTAAAATGCCTTAAGAGTGCTAGAAGTGCTAAGAAGTATCGACTGTAACCCTACAATAACCAGCGGTGTTTCCTGGAGTGAAACACATTACAATGGAGTGAATAGGAGACAAGTCAGATAAAGAATCAATAATTTTCCAGGCTGCAAAGAGTTGAGCGGAGAAAAGACCCTGTTACAGTAAAGCGTACGGAAAACAGAAAGCCCACGACATTTGCTCTTTAACGCGAGGTCTTTCTGAGGCCAGGAGGGTAGGGATGAGGGGGAGGAACGCTTTGTACCCTTAGTCTTATGAAAATCCTTTTATCACTTTAGAAGTGCAAGAGCCAGATACAACATGATACAAATGGAAGCATTTCTTGAGATGCATTTACTGTTGCACTTCAAGGTGAAGCGAAAAGAGGGAGCAGAGTCTTTTTCTTCGCTAAATGCAGCTGATGAAATCTCACGAAGCCTTGAGATGCGATGCTCTTCCATGCCAAGATGGTTTTTTCTGAACAAATACTTAAGCGGCAGCGTTTGTGGAGTTTCAGTATTATAGGTCTATATGAAAGATTATAAATGACTTTTGCTGGGAATTAGGTGGTGCCGCATAAAAGCACCTAGTTGTTAATAAACAATGAATAAAGGCAGAATGTTGTTTCATAGATTTAATCGAGTCAGAGTCTGCCACGACAGGGAAAGTATATTGACATGGTGGATCCAATGCATCCTTCTCTTTCTGGCACCCAGGGTTCACTCTTCTCCCAGAGGCTTGGCTGCAGGCTCTCACCAGACTCCGGCAGCAGATGTCATTGCATTTGAAATGATGAATGTTGAAAATGAATGTTGAAAATGATATTTTCAAGCTTTTCTTCATAGCTGTGGATGCCAGATTTTGCAGTTTGAAGGAACTATATGATGCCAAAACCCTGGACAATAAGCTGGGGCCTTTGAGGACCTGTGTCCTAGTCTGGCCCTGGAAACCAGAATGCAGCACCAACATGATTTTCACCAAAAGCAGGATTTCCCAGGATATGAAGGATGCACCGTTGGAATGGGAGGGAGAGGAGAGGGGATTTCCTTCTTCTTGATGGAGTCTCTCCCTCCACCCTGGAACCTGTCCCCGACTCCTTTAGAGTTGCCTGGCCCTATACCTATAATTGGCCTTTGGGGACTCAGTGCCAAGCATTTTCAAAACACGCTCACAGGCAACAAAACCAGCAAACCCTCTGGCAGTGTCATTTCCCACCCACTCCTTCCCCCCTCGCAAACCATCTAGCCAGTGCAGACCCCTTTTCAAAGCCATGGGGCAAGCCCCCCAACCGGGCAGCATCAGGAATGAACAAGCATGATTAATCCCAGATCAAGGCCAGGACCACGCTGGCTGGACTCATTGCGTTCGCAGACTAGCAGGGTCTGTCACTCGAGCTGCCTCTCCTTGCTGGCTGTCGTTAGCTGTTATTTCATCCTATACCATGAAGCACCAGATGGAGAGCTGGGAAAGCTGGTTTCCATGCCTGCGCCAGGAGTAACTAACTCCCCGCGTGACCTCGGACAAGCCACCGAGCCCCAAATGGTTTCATAAGCTTCCTCTAATTCTGAATGCCCCACTTGAACCCTCACCAGCTTGATAAAGGTGAAGATTTACTTGATAAGTAACATTCATGCTCCATTTTACTTCCAGGTTCCCAGCGCTGAACTGTCTGGGTTTCAAACTCTGCAACGGAGATATAACTGAAAATATTCAAAACTTTTGGCAGCCTTCTTTTAGTTTTAGGTGAGGTTGACAATGTCCTTCCAACTTTGCCAAATACACTCAGCCAAGTGTATTCATGGAGTAGCTCCACGAACCAGATGCAGTTACTCCAGAGGGAATTTGGCCCACGAAGCTGAACAAACAGCTGAACAGTGGGGGAGCTGGGTTCCAGTATACTTGCTCTTTCGCTTAGTTCTTGTAGCAGAAATAGATGCAGACGCCCGGCGTATGATTTACAGGGTCCAGTGCTGTAAATATGCTTGTACTTTTCTCGACAGCAGGCAACCGTCAGTCCTCTGGATCATGCCGTACACATAAGAGGTCTAATTGGACCCCTGATGAATCCATTTGTGGCTGACACGGCCAATTCGAGAGTGACACAGCTTGTTACAGGTTTCACAGATCCATATGTTGACTGAGTTGGAGTCCAAGTTTACAGCACGCTGCTTCTTTCTCACTTTGCTTCCAACCCTTGGATCAAAGCCGCTTCATGTTGAGCTGGACCCGGTGCCAGATGTTTCCTCCAGTGCAGACAGGATTCTGTGCGTTCCTCCCAGCTTGACAGCAGTAGAGGAGTAGTAATTCCTTCTAGCAGAGGTCTGATTATCTTCATTTCCACTGTACAAAGTCTTGCAAAACTGGATTAAACCCACTCTGGGGACGTTTATGTGGTTTCGACATTGATTTGGTTAAACAATTACCATTATTCCAGTAGGGAGACTTGAGTCTTGTGTCTGTAAATGCTGATTTTTTACAAAACCAGCATCTGGGGAGCTCATTTTGCTGACCTTATTCACCCCGCCTTTTGCATTTTAGGCCGTGTCTCTGTCTTTGCTGATGTACCCAGTGCTGAAAAGTCTGGCCCTTCAGCTGCACTCTGCAGTCACTGGCAGCTACATCTCTGGAGCCCACTCCATCGCTTTCATCAACTGCCCCAATGAACAAATTGCAAAGGATATTGCAAGGTACCATGCTATTTTCAGTGTTTTTGTGTGAAAATAAGTCAAAGGCTGGTTGTTATGAAGACCTTTGTTTCTTTGATGTCATATTAATCTGGGGATTGAGGGTCTTCCCCCTTCTCTCCACTCGATGCCCTCATTTCTCACACTTAAATGACCCCCTCTATTCTACTGTCTCAATGAAAATGAAAATCTGCCCAGCTGCACCATCATGCTTTTTCCCTACAGTCTCTGCCACCTTGAGCACAACGAATTTGTTTTCAAGTCCTACTGGTTTTTCATCACCGGGTGCGTCTACATGAGATGATTAATGTGCAGTAGCGTGTCACAGCAAAGACAGTGCTAATACGCTACAGTGAAGTAGCATCACTAAAAAGGTGTTCACCAGCACCACGGCAAGGTAGCTCTAGTTACTGCACATTTAGTTAGTACTTCACTAAGCAAGTACCAAATTAAATGCACAGTAACTACTGGACTGCAAAAATCTAGGACTCTTGGTTCCAGAATGATACCTTTTATTATTGCGATATATATTTTTTTACAATTTCTCAGTTGGCCTAATAAAAGGTATCATTTTGGAACCAAGAGTTCTGGATTTTTGCATTTCTTTTTGTCTCAGACCAGCACAGCTACCACATACATCCCAGTCACTACTGTGCATTAATCAACGTGTAGACGTGACCACTGTTAGGGACTAGTTTAAGACCCTGGCCTTTATCACTGAAGCAACTCATGGATCAAGCCTCAGGTACATTAAAGACCAACTTGCAGTTTGTCATTGTGACCCGGTGAAGCAGCTGCACTCCTTTGACACAGTGCAGATCACAAATGCCTTGAGTAATCTGGGTTACGGGGCTCTGGTTACGGTACAAACGACTGCGGGAGATTAGACACGCGTAGAGTCTGGTCACCTTCAGGAAACGTTGCCCTGCCGCTCTCCTCCACAAACTTTTTCACTAAAACAAGAATTCCATCTCTGGCTCCGATATCCTACTTACTCAAGCAGCCTCACCAAAAAAAAAAGTCTTATAACCGAAGAAACAGCTAACTAGAGGCTGATGCAACCAGAATACCCCACACACAAGTTCTCCCCTAAAACGGATGGCAGTGTCAGGGACTCCAGCAAGTCTCCTGGAGATGGGGGTCATTTCTGCTGTTTTTCCATGGACGGAGGCCAGCTATCACAGGGGTAAAAGGTTATGACTGATTAAAAAAAACCCCCAAGGGAAAATGGGAAATAATCTGTAACTCCATACCTGAAACTCACATCCCAATTAATTTTGAATAGTGGGGGTTTCAGATCCATCTGGTTGGTTTTTGGTTTTCATGGTCTGCAAGATAGATGTCACAGACTCCTAACTTAGCGGCTGAATAGATGGCCTGTTCAGAGTAGCGCGACTGTGTGGACTGACGCAATGTTGACAGTGGATCATTAAGTTTCCTGCAGCACCTCCTGTGAGCTCTGTTCCCTGCTAACGCTCTGCTTGCCAACAACTCTCCCCATCCTCTGCAATAGCCGAGTGTTCCCAAACAGCTATTCAAGAACCAGCAGGCTCCTGAAAGGGGTTTTGTGTCATCCTAAATACTGCAACTGTGTCAAGCATGGCAAAAAAACCCCTCAAAGTAGATAATATTGGTACTACTCGATACGTGTGAAGAAAAGGATAACTGTGCGTCACTAGTGAAAAGATCATTTAGTCCCTTAAAATACATCGTGTTCATAGCTCTGCAGAC